TTTTTTTTTCATGATAAAGCATATTACATTAGCTTTAATTTAAGATATATATAAAAGTGTCAGACCTTCCGGAACATTTTCAAAATTTAAGTTAAAAAAATTAATTTTTTGTGAAAAAGTTGTCATTTTAAATCCCCCCTTGTGGGCAGGTTAAGGGTTAAATTTATGAAAAAAATATACCAAATGAAAGGTAATGATATTATGCATCTATATAAAAAAGAATTATATTGATATGTTTATTTTTGAAAAAGTTATGGCACTTTTAAGTAAAAAAAATTGAAAAAATTTCGAAAATTAGCGATTTTTAAATTTGTAATTTTTTTGGAGGTTTCCCCCTTTTACGGGGAACGAGGGAATTTTTTTCAATTTTTAAGGGTAATGTCTTCGACTAGATACGATTTGTGATCTTTTGACGTATCATTGAAAGAAATCGGTTCGGTGAGAGCTGAGAAAAAGTGGTAACAGACACAAAAAAAAAAAAAAAAAACACATCTTAGTAAAACCAATACCTTCTCAGCTTCGCATCGAAGCTAAAATAGATATTTCTAGTTTTTTTTAAGTAAAGCGGGGTTTCTATATTATAATATAAGAAAACAAAATTTTTCTCAATATTTTTAATAGTTATTATAATAACTTATTGTTATAAGTTTATTTTGATGGTTATTTAAAATATCTAACACAGTTCTATAATTCATTATATTCAAATGTTACTTAAGATTATTATTTTTTATTTTTTTTAGTGATGAAATCATTAATATCAAGTAATAAATGTTGACATTATTTTTTATACATAACTTTCAAATAAAAATAATTTTTGTAGCATCTTATAAATTACAGCGATTTTCTTTTGTTTATTTTAGTGATTCCTTACAATTACTCTGCGAGACAATGAAAAAACAAATTATATCGAGAGCTTTTTATGGCTGGTTAGCATACTGTCGACATCTAACAACGGTTCGTACCCACTTATCAGGACTGGTAAATACAACAATTGTAGATTCGAGTGATGCTCATACTGGATTGACTGAAGGAAAATGGAAGTCCTTTAAAAATGATATGAATGTTATTGATATTAATGTAAAATTCGATATTTTCCGACTTACTTACTTTGGTGGAGTACAACACGAAATAAGAAAAGAAGTGAATTTTTTTAAGATATTAAATGTGTCCAGAAAATTTCTTAATAGAAAAAAAATTATAGGTTTGGCCTTTTTTATTGGGACATTATGCATTTGGAAGTTCATCTGAAGAAAGAGCTACTTTAGATTCGCGTTGTAAGCAAGATTATGAAACTACTATGTCAGAATGGATGGCTGTCGAAGCAATTATCAGACAAAAAGACCGCGAAACCATGGCAGCTAATCTTGCAAAGCTTTCAAGTGAAAGTACATCGGGTGATGCTCCTCTACCTCCATCTCCAAAAACTTCAAAAGTGCTTAGTCAAGAACTCAGCAATGATGTAATTGTCATTAATTTTACCCTTAATTTAATTTATGGGAAATAATAAAATATATTCACTTGATATTTTGAACATGAAAACATTTTATTTATTAAGAAGAATAATTTTTACATCAAATCATTAATACAAAGTAATGAACGAATATTTTAATAGTGTATTATTATAAAATAATTATAGTCTATTTTTTAAACTTTTATACTAAGCAATACGAATGATGCCAAATGAAAATGTTTTTTCGCTTTTATATATGTATTTTTAACCCCATCTTTGCTTACTGGGTAACACACTAGTAAAAAAAAATATATTATATTTTAAAAAACAATTTATCTTCAAGAAAAAGTTGTTCATTGTCAAATGTGAAATCCATAAAATATATACTTTATGCTGAGTATATACTATAGAAAGACAATTTATCATGAACTACTTAATTAATCAAATAATAAAAATAGTATTAACAATTTTTTTACTACCTATCATAAATTTTATTGCTTAAGTTTTACAATTTCAAACTAAAAGTTCAAAGTTTCTAAATTTGCTAAAATTAAAATGGAATTAAATCTGAAATCTTTATGATTGTGTTAGGTTTTTGAAGAAACTGTAAACTTTTCTTCCGATGAAGATAATCCGCCTATCATAGATGATTCTCAACCTGAATGCAATTTGGAAGATATTGAAAAAAGTAATTTATATAAAGAATTTTAGTTGGTGATTTACTATGTATTTGTTTATATTTGTTTTATTAATCATTGGCTAGATAAACCCTTAGTTTACAATAAATATTTCTAATTAAGATGTATAAATTATAAAATTGTTTACTAATTTATTTATTGATGTGTAGTTAATAGTGAAGAGATCGAAACAGTCAATAAAGTTAATGAATCATCTAAAATAAATGATGGATATAAGGTATGAAAATAAATAAAACTATTATAATTTAAATTCATTTTGGAATAATTATTTCATGTTTTTAATTTTTATAACTTGTTTATCTTTTAAGAGTTCCTTATCATCTGATGAGGGTTTAGGGAAAGACGAAGGGACAGAAAAAGAAAATACTAATTATAAATTAAAAGATACTAAAAGCGAACCTACAGGTAACTGATATTACTTACTTTTTTTTAGACTCTTTAAGGTAAATATTTTGGCCTAATAGCTCTAAATACTTATGTTACGCAAATTAACCTTTTAATTGACACGTTAACCTTAAACATATATTATAAATATAATGTAATATTTATTTAAACACTTCATATTTAGTGCTAAGCACAAAATCCGGATTCAACTGTAATTCCAAGGATCCGTTCAGATTCACCCGGATTGACTTGAATAATGTAATTCGTATAATCCAAATTCAATCATCTCACCTATATTGATAGTATAATTTGAGTTGTATGATCAGTCTGGATCACAAGTTTATTCCAGATCACATGATCAATCATTAACAAAAATCTCTTAATTTTTTTAAAATAAATTGAAATTAAATTAGTAAAAATGTATTTATAAAATATAAACTAAAATTAATTAATCAATTTTATCCGGATTGTACTTAAAATCTGGTTTGAATTAGTTTGTTCATTTGAAATGTATTGAATCTAAAAATCGAATATGACCTTTCCGATTCGGATTACAGATTGATCTGATAAAAGAATTTATTGTAATATTTTATACTTCATGATTAATTTTTATTAGATACAGAATCATCCCATTCCTGTACTACAGCAGTTATCGTAACTTCGAATGAAAGTCAAGATAAAAATACTGTTAATTCTAACAACAATTGTACGAAAGGTAACCGACAAAAATATTTTGAATACCTAATTATTTTCATACTGATCTTTAAATAACTAAGAGTAATAATACTTTTTTTAGAAGAAATTGATGAAGATAAATCATCTAAATTAACAGTTGATGACAATGAAGGTAACTGCGGAGGATCTAACCATGAACAAAGATCAGCTTGTATATCGCCAGCGAGTTCTCAAGGGGGTGTTTATCCGGTATTAATTTTTGTCCATTAAAAATTACCTAAACTAATAGCAGTAAAAGTTTTAAAAAAATACTTTAAAATAAATAATTTCGAACAGGTTGAATTAGTAGAAAATTTTGGTCTGAATGTACACAGGATTGATAAAGACGTTCAACGATGCGATAGAAATTATCCTTATTTCAATTTAGAAAATTTAGACAAATTACGAAATATTATATGCACGTAAGTATATTATTTGAGAATTGAACTTTTTTCGTTTAATTATAATACCATACCAGTAAAAAGGTTGTAAAAGAGAACTTTGAGTTTTTCTAGATGTATTTATACTGAAGTATAAATTTAAAATAACTTTTAATTTGCACTATTGTACAATCTATATAACATTGTATATAAATTTTTTTTTGAAATTAAATCTTAGTTAAACTAATTTATACATCTTATCTACGATTGACGTTACACCTATACTCCCTCTTATTTGTTTGTTCCTAATCCTACCTTCTCTAGTCATTCCACTCATCGATATAAGCATTCTCATCTCTACTACACTCATTCTCTTGACAACGGTCCAACACTCTAAACATACATCATAGCTGGCTTCACTACAGTTTTGTAAAATTTATCTTTCAGTCTCATTGGAATTCTTTTATCGCATAAAACGCCAGACGCTTCTCTCCACTTCAACCATCTGCACTAAATCCTGTGTCTTACATCTTCGTCAATACCACTGCTCTTTTGCACAACTAATCCTAAATGCTGACAACTTTCCACATCTTCCATCACGTCCTCGCCTATTGTCACTGAACTCCTCATTTCACCTACCTCGTGTTCTCCTTTGTCAAACTCGTTCTCTATATTCTCTGTTTTACTCCAACTTATTCTTAAATCCTTTCCTTCAAGAGCTAAACTTCACACCTCATACATTTGATTAATTTTCTCCCTATTTTATCCTATTAACACTATATCGTCAGCAAACAACATGCACCACAGTACCTCTTCTTGTATTTCATATCCTCTCTTCTCATTACCTACATGTTCATTTATATCTCCACCTATCACCACATCCTCATTGCTAGGTATTCCTTGCATCACCTCATTCATGTCTTTTCAAAACACTTCCTTGTCTATTTCATTACATCTTACTTGTGTGCATAGGCACTTATTATATTCAACACTTTTTCTCGAAAATTCATTTTACGACTATAATTCTGTCACTTTTCCAAGCTACTTCTACAACTTTACTTTACATCTCCTTATCCATTATTATCCCTACACCTTTTTTTGTATTAAACTTACCTGAGTATATTATTTTATAACCCTCGCCTTTTTCCCTTGCTTTCTTTCCCTTCCTCTTAGTTTCCTGCATACAACAAATATTAACTATTCTCCTCTTTAATACTTCTACTTATTCTCTACTTCTACCAGTTAATGTTCCAAAATTCCAAATACCTATTCTTACTTTTTACCTATCTTTCTCTCTTATACATAAGTCCAGCCTAGAGTTAAGTGATGATGTCCCTACACCACTGACACTACAAGCGTTGGGTAGACATATACACATGACTGGGTAAACAGCTATCACACCAGTTGTCCGACTGGTATAAACACTATACCTTAAGCCTTCTTCGTTTTTATCTACTTTATTTCCTCTCACATGTTGTCCCCGCGTACATCCGAGATGAGACAATCCGCCTAAGGTTTGTTCAGGACTCCTCATACTTTTTGACAAAAATTTTACGCCAGCTATCGATCTGACGCAACCTCATTAGTCGCATCTTACGAAGTATTCTTATTCCCTATCCACAGAGATAGAGGATAAGGTAGTGTTTGGTAAAATAAGTATAAATGTAAAAAATTGTATATAGCGTATCATGTTTATATATATTGTCTCTACGCCTGGGCATTACTTGATAAGAAAAAAATGTCTGATTCCATACAAATAGAATAAAAAGAGTTTTCAAAATTAACATTATCTATAATACCAAAGTACATTACCAATGTAAGGTTTTGAGCCTGGGTGTACCTTAAACACCCAACATACTCGGGTTTTGTGGCTCTGTGTATCATGCTTAGTACTTGTTACAGATAGCTTTTAGCTTCGATGCGAATTTTACCATGATGTGTTTATTTATTTTTTTTTTTTGTGTCTGTTAATACTTTTTCTTAGCTCTCACTGGACTGATTTTTCTCAAAGATACGTCAAAAAATCACAAATCGTATTTAGTTGAAGATATAACCCTCAAAAATTAAAAAATTTTCCATTGCTCCCCCTAAATAGTGAAAATCCCCCAAAAAATTACGATTTTTAAAATCGCTAAATTTTAACATTATTTTGAATCTTTTTTTTCTAAAAATGTCCATATTTTATTAAAAAATGGACTAATCAAAATAATTCTTTTTTATATTGAAACCTTAGATATTTCCCTTTCATTTGATATAAATTTTTCAATATTCGACCCTTTATCTGCCGACAAGGGGTGATAAAAAATAGCAACTTCTGCACAATAATTTAAGTCTTGAAAATGTTCCGGAAATACTCCGATTTTCAAAAATATGTTAAAATAAAGCTAATGTTATGTACTATAAGTTAAAAAAAAAATTTGTCCTAACAACTTATCTTCTATGTGCAATTGGTTGCCGTAGTTAAAAAAACTTGCAATTTTAGTGTTAAAATTTACGATTTCATATTTTATTTTTTCAACTTTAAATTACTATAACTTTTTGAAAAATGTATGGATCATTACAAATTTTTGTTTCTAAATAAATCATATGTATACTTTCCATGCGACATACTTTTTTTTTTTAAAAGACCATTTTCCTTTATAGGGGGGAGGGGTTAAATTTTTTAAAATATGTATAAAATGTAGAACTTTTTCAACTTAACTTTTGAAAATGTTCCGGAAATACTCCGAGCTTTAAATATATGTCAACTTAAAGCTTACAATAAATTTTATTAGTTCAGAAAAAATAATTTGTCCCGACATCTTTTCTTTTATAGGAAAATAGCCGTCGAATTTAACGAAAAATGTAATTTTTATTATGTAAAAGTCACTGTTTAAAATGAAATATTTTAATAGTTAAAACTGCTATAACTTTTTGCATAATTAACAAATTAAAATAATTCTTTTTTATATTGAAATCTTAGATATTTTTCTTTTATTTGATATATGTTTTGAAAATCTGACTCTTGACCTACCCACAGGAGGTATTCAAAATAACAATTTTTACGCACTAGTTAAACTTTTTCAACTTAATTTTTGAAAATTTTCTGGAAATATTGACACTATTATTTAATCTTAAATTAAAGCTTATGTAATATACTTATGTAATAAAAAAAAATTCGAGATATAGTGAAAATGTTTATCATATTTAAAAATATGCTTTTTTTGTATTAAATTCTTGGTATTGTATTTTAATTTATTTTAAACTACCTTATAAGGGGTGCACTGATTTTCATGAATATTATATAAATGTAATTGGCATAGAATATAATGTTAAACTTTCTACAATTTTTTTTTTCTTTAAAGTCAAAAAAAGTAATTTTAACATTTGAATCAACATAAATTGCTAATTTTATCAAACGACGAATGCGACAAACGTTAGACGATTCAGGAAAAATCATTGCCTGAAGCAATGATTTTTTTTCAATTTTTCCTTAATTCTTTTAAAGTTAGAATTTCACTTATAAATAGTCCACCAATTTCTTAAAATTAAACACTATCTACAGATGTGCATCGAAGCATTTCTTATGATAGTGATTTTAATCACTGTCAGATATCATCTATATTAGTACCAACTATGCCACGCTCACATTGGACCGTGACTCCACTGTGCCGCCATTTTTATTACAATAATAATTTATTTTCTCGAAATAATTCAAAAGTATTCAAGCCCAGATTAAGACTTGTTAAATTACAGAATGGAAGTTTTAGAAGAGATCCTACAAAAAACATTATCGACCAAATAATAAAATGGGTGAACAAATAAAAGACAAAAATTGTTTGTTTTCCATTAATTTGACTTGTAAAATTTGAATTATACCCCTTCATGTGCATATATCCCAGCTAACTGCCTCTCTAACAAATAATTTGGATTAAGATCGTAGAGTAATATATAATGAATCATTAATCAAACATATTAACTACTTTATGTCACAGATATGTTTGGGATCATTTGGATATGGGTTATATGCAAGGAATGTGTGATTTAGTAGCACCATTGCTTGTTATTTTAGACGATGAAACTTTATCATACTCGTGTTTCTGTTTACTGATGGAAAGAATGTCTGCAAATTTCCCACATAGCGGTGGTGCGATGGATACACATTTTGCTAATATGAGGTATGTTTTTTTAATTAACTACATTTAAAAAATATTTTCTTTTGATTTTCATATATTTTTATTCTATTTATTACTTTAAATAATTTTTTTTGTTTGCACGTTTTCTGCTATCTTTTATCTAGACATTCTTGATTTTTTTCTTATTTAATTTATATACTATCGTAACTCAAAAATTAATAAAAGAAAAAAAGAAAAAGTTATATTGTGAGTTACTTTTAATTCGGGGTGTGATTCGAGGGTTATGAAATAACATAAATCTAGACTCTTATTGATTATTAAAATCTTACCTGATAATTTTCCTGGTTCTTATAATATCTTAAATAATAATATTAATCAATAATTGAAAATAAAAATAACACAAATCAATTTAGTTCGCAACTTTAACACGTAAGAACTTCGACAATTATGATCACAATATCCGCGTAACGATATCTAGAGCACGAGATGAACAGGGAGAATAAGGGTTTGCTCTGCCTTTTTATAATATTTTTTTATCCCCGAAAATCATCTTTGTCTAATTCTTACAGTATAACTGTTTATTTATAAGTAAGCATAAAATACAGAAATTATTACAGATGAATGGAGTATATAAATCATTTTAATATTTTATATATAACATCAATATTGTTTTTTTACAAATAAGATTAGTTAATACTAATCTATGCATTTAATTATTAAAATTAGAATAATAAAGATGACAAAAATAATTTATAGATTTCTTTTCGGAAGGAACAATTTTTATATGTGACTATTAATCAATTTATATAGAATTATGTGTATTATATTATAACTAATAAATATGTATTTGTTGAATATTTCTCTTAAATGTTTATTTAAATTATTTTTGTTTGAAAAGGATTATGACCTTCTATGAATACAAATATAATTAAATAAATTAATGTATCTTTTTTACAAAAACTTTACTATATATGTATAAAATAGAAATATATGAATTTCATATATTTTTAAATACTTTTTACGTTTTACTTGAAAATACCTTAATCACAAAAATGAGATAGTATTGAAGTATTCGTTCGCTGTTCGTTTAAATTTAATGCCTTGTTTTTTTCGTTGAGCATCATAAGCTTATTTGATCGAGTTGATTATCGATATTGGATCATTTCTTTTATACAAGCTATTAAATGAAAAGTTCAATGTTTTAAAAAATTATTCTTGCCTAAGAATAAGTAAATAAGTTTTATAATACTTCAAATTTTTTTCACATAGATCACTAGTACAAATACTTGACTCGGAAATGTTCGAATTAATGCATGAAAACGGCGATTTCACACATTTTTATTTTTGTTACCGTTGGTTCTTATTAGATTTTAAGAGAGGTAAGTAAGATGTTCATATATAATAAAAAATCGAAATATATATATTTTAATATGTAATCATGTTTTTAAAGAACTATTATATGATGATGTCTTTACTGTATGGGAAACAATTTGGGCAGCAAAAGAAATGTCATCTTCTCAATTTGTCCTGTTTTTTGCACTTGCACTTGTTGAAACATATAGAGATATTATTTTAGCAAACCATATGGATTTTACCGATATTATAAAGTTTTTTAATGGTAGGCTATCATATTTATTATGTCTATTTATATTAGTATAATTAAAAAAATATATTAATAATCATGAATTTTTAATATTTTTAGAAATGGCTGAACATCACGATGCTAAATCAGTACTAGCATTAGCTCGTAATTTAGTATTACAACTACAAACGTTAATTGAAAATAAATAGTTTGATCTGATTGAAACATCTAATTGATAGAATGTAAAATATTTTAAATTAATTTTTAATACCCAACTAATTAATTTAATAGTCACGTTAATATTAAGTATACGTTTTGGACTTTTACCTTTGAAATATTTTCAGTATATAATATGATTGGCAAGAATCGGAGGTAATAAGAAAAATTGAGTTCCTTCAAATTAATTGTGTTTTATAAAAATTAACACAACTTATGCAGTAAACTTCTTCAACATTCATCCTAGATAGTAGCTTGTGTAAATTTTGTCTACAATCTCATAAATAATAACATTTATTTATTTTAAACTAACAATGAGTTTACTTTTAAAAATTTGGCGTTCTATTAGATTATTGTTATTATCAATAAATAATTATAATACTCAGTTCCATACCTGGTATTACTAAATAACTAATAATTAACAAATTTAGATCTTAAAAAAACTTATTTCAAAATATTTATACCAATAATTCAATTCCGTCCCTTAGACTTATGGCAAAATTTAAATTTAAATAAAATAATGCATTATTTTATTTTAGTTATAAGGTTAACTGTTTTAAATAAAACAATCAAAACTTATTTAAAATTTCAACAAAAATACGATAGAGTAATATGCTTATGGTTTATTTATTAAAAAAAAAAATTATTATAATTTTTTATGTAAAATATTTTAAAGTTATTATTATTGTCAAATATGTCTATTTTTTTGTTTAAATTTATTATAAAATTATAAATTTTTATCATAATAAATTTTAAATTATATTTTAATTAAATTATTTTAAACGTATAAGTACATATAAAATAAAAATGTTGTACTCTAAATCAAATCAAGAGTTAAGCGAGATTTCTTTCTGCAAAACTATCATTTGTAGTGAAAAGTTTTCTTAGGTAAATAATGTTTCGTATTTTATTCTAAATATTTTTGTTTATAATTTGTTTGTTAAATATAGTGCAATACTATAAATATTTATAAATATTACTAACATTTCATTCTATCATAACAATTAGTTGTAAAGTTTATATAAAACCATTAAACGATTTATAAGATAAAATAAATTTTAAATTCCGTTACCAATTTTATATATTTTATATTAATTACATTTATTTAAAAACCGTGATAACTAAAAATTATTATTTTAGTGAGTAATTAGAAAAATATTGAATTATTGTTATATTTGTGTTTAACGAAAGTTTATTCTATATATTTATTAAATATTCATAACTACTTTGACACAGGCGTGTATAACCTTAATACCCACGTTAAAATAAATAAAAATTTTTCCTAATTTTCATGATTTCAATAAATTTAAAGGTATTTCAAAGATAAGAACTGATTCCAAAATATCTATTAAAAATGTTATATTGATATTTTTTCTTAATAACTATCAAAACTAAATGTTGTATATTGTTATTTTTTATTTTTTACTGTTTTCTCAGTTTAAAATAATACATTTATTTAATTTAAATTTACATATTTTTTAAATATATTTTTATATTTAATATGTACTTGTGTATAAATTCAATGTATCAAAATTATATAATTAAAAACTATGCATAAGATATTATAAATTCTAAAATTTTGTTATTTATAACTCCATTTTGTTATCTTAGTACTTACATAAAAAAGTACATATTTAATAATCAAACAATTCATTTAATTTAACAAAAACATTTAGCATTTGTAGAGTAAAATTAATTATTTAAATTATTTAAACTGCTGTATCACTTAAAAACTTTCAATGTTTGTATATCCCATTAATCAAACATATTTTTGTAAAACCATAAAAAATATTTGAGTACCTGATTCTTTTAATAATTCTGTGTTAATTTATCATTAAACTATTAAATAGTCTTAATTATTGTGAATTAATTTGCTTAATATATTGAGATTCATATTTGACTGTATTTTAATGATACATTTTATTAATTATCTATGTTATAACACATTGCAAAAGTTAATTAATCATATAAATGTAAATATAATATTAAAATAATAGGCGTTTGATAAAAATTTATAGTTTTAGTACTTCTATAATAGTTTTAAGCCCTTCAAAATGTATATATTTATGAGCGTATACAGATACTTAAAGTATAACTTATAATTAATTTAGTACGTAGAACCAATGATCTGTTACTAAAGAAAACATTTTTTCGTGGTATTATAATTAATCTAGTTTTGACTAATATAACTACTCTAAATTTGAAAATAAAAATTACATTTTTAAAATACTTATTTTTAATTATTTATTCCATCACAGATATTATAATTGAAATTAACTATGAGCGCTATTATTATCGATTTTATTTTTATTTTCTGTGATCCCTATTAATTTAAACAATATCATATTATTATCTACTGAAGTCATACATATTCAGTTATTTATTTTAATGATTTTTTTATATACGGAAGTGTTTATTTATCATGAACCACTTAATTAATTGAAAAACAAAGATAATATTAATAATTTTTGTACTATTTTCTTTTAGTTCAATGTTTTTATCAACATATCAATCATAAATTAAGTTTTATGGTTTTCCTTTATACCTTATAAAGGTGTTAGCTTTATTCTTCAAATGACTACATACATAATTAACTAATTTAGTTAATAGATAATGATCTAATTAAGAAAATGAATAGTCGATAATATTTTTTTGACTAGTATTTTAGAAGTTATTAACATTTTTATACTTCGATGGGAGAAAAAGTATAGCCGGGAAATTATAAAAAATACAGTACCCTCGTCTAGCTACTGTTTTCACTTTAAAAGTTGACATCCCTATATGGTATAAGAGATAAACATAAAAATACTTATTGATGGATAAATTGAGAAAATCATGTATCTAAAAGAAATCAACTAATAAGTAGTTTGTTGTAAATGAATATATTATTGGTGCAATTCTATTTTTGTATAAGTTATATGTATTAATTTTTATATAACTGCTATTGTATATATTCTATATAACGTTAATTCAATTATTTGTTAGATTTAGTCATACTCATCTAATTGATACATCTTCAGATAATCTTTATATAAGTCAATCTTATATATCATGTTTCAAAAAAGAAAAAAATAATATATATATATATAAATATGTTAAAAATTAAAATTTATTTATCTATTTATGTAATTTATTCTATACAAATTATATAAAATATTATCTTTATGAATAAAATAAATAAATGTTAATAAAAATCAACATATCTATTTATATAGAGTGTTCAGAAAATAAGGAAACGGTATCTATGGTATTCTCATTGTTTTTAACAATCGACTTATTTCTTTACTTACTGAACTCTCTGTATAATTTATATACTGTGTTAGAAACAGTAGTAAAACAGGGTATTTTTAGGGACGTTAGAACTGATAAACTGCTCTTATTTCTTAATAATCCGTGTAAATTAAATATTTTTATCTTCGTAAAATAATAATCATATGAAAAAATAAGATCATTAATAAAAAATTCCAAGTATGAAATAGTCCAAAAGTGGGTATCAAAGTTCTCCCTGCTATATGTCCTTAAGAATATATCAATGAGGGTAGATCTATTTCTACAGAATGATTTATTTATCGTTACCACTAGATTTATTCTAATATAATAATCATTTAAAAAAATGTTAGTTCTGTATAGTATCGTGATACTAAACTGAATAAAAATTGTTTAAATAAATGTATTTATCTCTTGATTTATGTGTGGTTTAACATTTTTAAGGTCTAAGTATCCCTTGAGAAGCTAACAACTATTTTTTTTTAATTTACTACGTACATATTTGATTAGTTTAAATATTAAGAAATGATTCAACTAAGAAAATGACTTGTTTAAAATAACTTTTGAATTCATATTTAGAGATTTATGAATATTTTTATACCGGGGTAATGAATGAGTGCAGCAGAGTTATGCATAATAACAAAATCTGCAATTCACCTACAGTATATATTTAAATATGGTTATATTTTCCGAAATACTGGTTCAAAAATTGTTATCGACAATCATTTTTTTATGCTACTGGTGGTGATATCAGAATAAATTAAATATACGATTAATTTTTAATATATATTTTCTTCTATGAGCTCATTTTATGTAAATAATGATATTACTTGAGATCATTCAAAGTATAAATTGTATAAAATCCTGTCATTGTTTCCATTTCTAAATGTATAGTGTATATATAGAAAATTACAATCTATTAATTTTACAATGATTTAAAAAGACTTGAAGTTTAAACATTTTATTAAGCAATTAAGTTATAAAATTAACAATTGTATACAAATTTAAAATTATCTCATTAATGTATGATCATATATAATACTTAAAAAATTTTAAACTACTCGACTAACTTCGAAAAATCGTTTAATATAATAGATTTGACCCACTGTCATTGATAACAAAAAAAATGCTTGAAGAAAAGCCCAAATTACAAGTCGGGTATTCGTAGATTCGTTTATACTTCTATGCATTTTATCTCTTATATTCAAATACTGCTGTTCGTATTTTGCTCTAGTCAATCCACCCCGTAACATTCTCAACATAGATGCAATTTTCTTTTCCTCTTCACCAATAGTAGTTAAAATTGGATGTTTATCTAATGAATTAATAAAATATAAAATAAAAGTTAAGTATAGTCAGGATCCAACATAATGAAGTTGATGCTTTTTTAAATTCATAAAAGTGAAGGGGTTTTTTATATTTCTGGTGCTGATAAATCCAACTAAATTAAAATCGGATTCTTTTGTCGAATTCATCATTAAAATCATTGAAAGCTGAGAATTTTCACAAATATACATAAAAAAAACACACATCATAAAGTCAATACGTTATCAGCTTAATATATTACATTGATAATAACTAAGATAAGTATTTAACCTTTTTCTTTACTATTGAAAACTCTGTATGTTTACATTCATGGTTGGTTCTAAACCCTATATTTTTAAGTGTATATAAAAATATATTATTTGAGTATCATGCAGGGTACTCGGAAATCGTAGTAAACTCAATATATTTTATATAAGTATAGGATGTTAGAAAATTATAAGCCCATTATATTTTTAAATTCAGGGTATTTTATTAATAAAAACTCTATTTTGTACTCAATGATTTTTGATAAGAAGTCAATCGATACAAGTCTAAATAAGAATGTAAAATAAACTTATAAGATCACATTGCAGTAAAATTCTGCTTTGTGAAACAAATAATACCTTTTTTTTCAGTGTCAACGTCTTCATTTTCTGGTTCAACAACTTCCATATTGAATAGTAAAACTTTGGATGTTTTAGTAGAAAATATATTACTAAAACAATATTTGTACGATCCTGTTTTCGCAGTATTTATAGAAAACTTTCCACTCGACTCACCCGACTGATCGTGAATCATTTTTCCATCTGGATCCACTACTGTAACATCAATATCTAAGAATCCTCCTTCAGAAACTTCATACGTCAAAGCTTAAAATAAAGTATATAGTTAATGTTCTTGCAAACATAAAAACTATTTAAATGCAATAATTATAACTAATAGAAATAATACGGGGGGCAATGAAACGAACGATTTTAAAATAACTAAAAAAATGTATAATAATTATTAACAAATTATTTAATTCTATTTTAAAGTATATGAAAAACATAAAATGCGATACAAATTTTTTTTAATATTTTAAAAACAAGATAAATTAAAAAATATCAGTAACAAGAAAAATATTTTATAAAAAAAAAATTATGTTATAGTAAAATCTGATTCTCTTTTCTAAGATATGATTAACTTTCAGATTATACACTTGCAGAGAGATCTCAAATAGATATAATTTAGTAATAATAAATGTATTAATCAAAAAGCATAACTTTTAACCAAAAAATATATTACATTCCCTAATTGAAAAATATAATAATACAATAAATTTAGTTAGGTTTATAATTAATAATTTATTAACTGGCCTTATATAAATAATCTAGTATAATTATCGTATTTGGCATAAAATATTTAACTTTTTTTTTTAAGAATTAGCGTTTTCAAAGAATAAAATAAAAGTAACTAAGTAAAAATAAACAAAATCAGTTATGACGAATTTTTAAGACTTTTACTGTATGTAGAGTTTTTGTGGACTGTTTATTAAGGAAACAACTTTGAAGTTATTATTTTTGAATTTCTTGTAAAATTTCCTTTACTTAAGTTTTACTTGCACAGTTTTAAGTTAAGCAAAAAGAAAGTTATGAAACATAGATCAATTATTTCTTTAAAATTTGCCTCTTCCACTCAACTTAATAGGTCCGGAGGCACGAGTTAACCTTAACGGAACGGTACCAAATTTTGCACAGCTAATTTTTTTGAGCATTAAAAAAAAATTAAGGGTTAGCGTAAAAAAAAGACATTTAATATTAGAGAGCCACCCTAATAATTAGATACTACCTTATCGAGATAACCCAAAGTTACCACGAGTTTGTTTGATAAATACCTTAAATTAGTTACTCAAAATTAGAATTGAAATTAATGTTTTGACTTACCAGTGGTGCCAATCTTAAATTTTACACGTATTGACGGATAATGAAAATTAAATTGAGATCCCACCACAATTTTTTTTTCTTATTTTTGTTCATTACTTTCACTTAATCGACTTTTTCATAAAATTATAGACATTATACAGAGTGTTCAGTAAGTCAGGAAACGGGTTTCTATTGTTCTCATTGTTACTAAACACCCTGTATAACTCCTAAAGACAATGACTTGTAATCACAATACCTAAGTGAAAGAATCGACGCCATTGTGGGTTACTGAATTGTGCTATGTTAATTTATAGATTTACATAAATTGAATAATTATTAATTTTTTGAAATTCCTACTGTACTAATGTTCAATAAGTAAGATAAAGGATATTAATTACTCCCATTGTTAGTAAAAATTAAATTGTTACCTTACCTTTTGAATACTCTATATAATGTCTTAAATTATTAATTTAATCAATTTAATTAATGATTTAATATTTTTAAAATATGAGCATAATTTTTACTTTCATACTATCGTGACAGGTAAAAAAATCAAATTTCAAGACCTAATTTTACATGCAATCCGGTGCGAATACAAGGGGATTTAAGAACAATCAACCCCTCCATCAAAAAATAAAATTAATATTATCTTATAAAAAAAGTTTCTTAAAAAAACTACACTTTACGTTAATAGAAACAATGTAAACACTCAACATTTTTTCTGTATCCACGCCTGAATAACATAACAGCACATAAACTATCATTTTTTGTTATATTGTTCCAACAGCACACGTTTTTTTGAACTTCTTTAAACTATTTACAATAATAATACCTATACATTTATTCTTAATAACGTACAGTTTAATCATTTATTATTCAACATTTTTTATAATGGCAAAACACTGTTTGACAATACATCGTGTTTAAAGTATACTAAAGCATAGCTTTAAGTAGTTGTAAATGAAGTTATTGTAATATTTTAAAAATACAAAAATCTGTTCTATGTATTATTTTATCATAATATATAAAAGCTATTATTTCAAGTAAAACAATAATACTTTTATATTTTCGTATACAATTTTTGTACATACTAAGCATTTATTGTTTAAGCAGTTCTATTACTTATAGTTTGTAATATTGTGGACTTACTCATTACACTTCCTAATGAAACCTTTTCAAAAAAACATTCTTCATGTTGAGCATCAACTGTTAAGTAATAACTAAGTCCTTGTCGAAAGACAAAAAATAGAAAAAACAAATTCTGAGTACAAAATGACAAGTGCATTATGTAAAAAATATTAGTAAATTAATCAAGTGACAACACTATGTCAAGCTACTTCGTAAGAAATTGAGACTCAAATTGACTTATAATTTTTTAAGTTAATTCATATTTTTTTCAATTTATAATAACTTTAATTTTATAGAATGTAACATCGTAAAACTTTTTTAGTTTATATGAGTATCTTTAAAGTACTCTCGACATTGTACAGTTGTTTTTTTATTGTAAATAATGACTTGTGTAAACGTTGCGTTTGACACGTCATTGAAGCCTATTCGAAATTCCATTGGTACATTTTGGTATTATTTGCTAATAGTTAAAAAACTTAGGAAAAGAAATATCTGATTTTCATCATTGACATTTAATACTATAAAAATTAATTGTTCAATTTTAACAAAAGGATTCAAGAAGCCTCAACAACTTTCATTGCAAGGACTAATAATGGAAGGCTCGAGGAATGAATGGAAGGGTTTTGAGTAAAAAAAAAGATCATCAAAATAATAATTTAAAAATCATAACACAGAATGTGGAGGTGAAAAATTCCTTATTACTTTACTTTTTAGAAATCTCACTTGGACCTTCTTATAACCAACTCCTAAATGCGACTGCATGATTCTGCTAATTAATTTTCCAAATATCCATGGTATCCATTAAATGAAACCATTAAAAATTTAAAAATTAATTCATAAAAAAGCGACAATAATATATTATAATATTTTAATCCTCCAACAAAAAAAATAAAGAACAATCAAGATTTTAAGTAGTGGAGATAAGATATACTAGAGTCCAGCATTGTTTGAAGTCTGTTAGCTGTCGCGTGTTTCAATGTGTACGTGCTTGATTATATACTAATTTATATAAAGAAGAATTGTATAAATTACGATTTTTAACTTATGTGGCGGTTTACTTAATAGAAAACGTTTAACTCTTTTTAACTTTGAGTAATTGCTTCAATTTTAGATTGATATAGTACTAAAAGACATAGGTTTTTTGGAACATTATCTAAATTAAAAAAAATTGTTTGATGTGATATACTGCACGTAATAAAATAAACTCCTATACTTAGATTAACTATTGGAATTTAAAAAAAAATAATAATAAATATTTAAAATTGTTAGACTCATGTAATTTTTAAGTTATTTTAATATGTAAAATAACCAAAATCGACTGTTTTCAATGATTAAAATGTTTAGGGATATTTTAGCTTCGATGCGTAGCGGAGAAGGTATTAATTTTACTATGATGTGTTTTTTTTTTTTTTTATGTCTGTTGCCACTTTTTCTCAGCTCTCACTGGACCGATTTCTTTGAAAAATACGTCAAAAGATCACAAATCGTATCTAGTTGAAGACATTACCCTTAAAAATTGAAAAAAATTCCCTCGTTCCCCGCAAATGGGGGAAATATCCAAAAAAATTACAAATTTAAAAATCGCTAATTTTCGAAATTTTTTCACTTTTTTTTCTTAAAACTTCCATAACTTTTTGAAAAATCAACAAATCAACATAATTTTTTTTTATACTAAAACCTTAGATATTTACCTTTCATTTGATATCATTTTTTTGAAAATCTATCACTTAACCTGCTCATTGGGGGGGATTTAAAATGGCAACTTTTTTACAAAAATTAATTTTTTCAACTTAATTTTTGAAAATGTTCCGGAAAGACTGCGTCCTTTAAACATATATCAAATTAAAGCTTATTTTATGTACTACAAAATGAAAAAAAAAAATTTGTCCCGACGACCTATCTTTTATACGCAAATGGCTGCCGTATTCAAAAAAACACTATTTTTGTGTTAAAATTTTCGATTTTCGATTTTTAATTTTCAACTTAAAAATGCTATAACTTTTTGAAAAATGTATATATCAGCACAATTTTTGTTTTCTAAATACATTATAAGTACATCTTTCATTTGACATACTTTTTATTAAAATTGGACAATTTCCCCTTATATAGGACGCGTTCAAATGTTGAAATATTGTAAAAAATATAGAACTTTTTCAACTTAACTTTTGAAAGTGTTCCGGAAATACTGCGTCCTTTAAACATATATAAAATTAAAGCTTATTATATGTACTATAAAATAAAAAAAAAAAATTTGTCCCGACGATCTATCTTCTATGTGCAAATGGCTGTCGAAAATTAAAAAAAAATGTAATGTTTGCGATAAATATTACCTTTTATCGGAATGTTTTTTGTGCTTAAAACTGTCATAACTTTTTCAAAAATTAACAAATAAAAATAATATTTTCTTGTATTGAAACCTTAGATATTTCCCTTTCATTTGATATAATTTTTTTTGAAAATCTAACACTTATTCTGTTCACTGGGGGGATTTAAAATAGTAACTTTTTTACAAAAATGAACTTTTTCAACTTAATTTTTGAAAATGTTCCGGAAATACTGCGTCCTTCAAACATATATAAAATTAAAGCTTATTTTATGTACTACAAAATGAAAAAAAAAAATTTGTCCCGACGACCTATCTTTTATACGCAAATGGCTGCCGTATTCAAAAATATGCTATTTTTGTATTCAAATTATGGGTTTTGTATTTTATTTTAATAGAAGTTGATGTTAATTTTGCAATTATCCATCAATTTTTTAAAATTAAACACTATCTACAGATTTGCATCGAAGCGTTTCTTATGATAGTGATTTTAATCACTGTCAGATTAAATCTATCTGGACCCAACTATGCAATGTCTCCACTATGCCGCGACCCCACTGTGCTACCGTTTTTTTTTTATTATAGAATGAAGGGAAACTTTTAAAATTAAACATTTATAACACTACAGCTTTATTTGTAGTATTTTAAGTTATCCTTGAGTAATATTAGTCCAGTAAAAGAATTCTGTATTATCAGACACAAAAAAAAACATAGCCAAGTAAAACCAATAGTCTTTTGCTACACATTAACATTCAAAGATGTATAGCAAATTTTCATCAATAATGGCAATTGCGTCAGTACTTCCTTTAGCATAATTATGAAATATAATATCACTAAAGAACAAAAGTGATACTATATATTACTATTTTTACATAAACACTTCATAGATAAAAATAAAAAGGCAGATAGTTATAAATTTAATATAATATATTTTATCTTATAAAAACAAATTAACATTAATTTTTAATTTTTATCAAAAGTGATATTTATAATATGATACAAAAAACTTACACAACTCTCCTAACTTCAAAAAATCGTTTTAAATAATATACTTGTCCTATTGTCATTGAGAGTAACACAAATGATTCAAAAAATGACCACATGACTACTCGTTTATTAGTTGATTCATTAATAGCTCGGTGATTTTTATCTCTAACATTCATATACTCTTGCTCATGTTTAACACTTGTTAAAGCAGCTCCTAAGTTTCTCAACATAGTCTCTAATTTTTTATGTTCACCATCTTCTTCACCAGCTATACAAAAAGTAGTTTAATTAAACAATAATAAAGTATTTAACTCAAAAGTGCTAATAATACTAATAAAGCCTAGAATTACATATACTTTAAATTTTGTTTGAGCTACTTAGAAGGCACTTGGGAACCTTGTGCTACTTTGTCATAGAATTATATAGGGTGTAGAAATATTTTTTATTTTAGGGGAATTAACCCCTATTTTCCCAAAAATATAATCCTGGTAACAACACATTACAAAGTTTTCAAGTCAATTAAAATAAATTTGTAAAATTTGTTTTACGGTGTGTTTAGAGTAACATACCAAAATCGTTTAAATGCATATAATCTTGGTACTACTTATAAATATTATTTATACAACAATTAGTTATTTCTGAATTGGGAATAAGGAAATTAAGTAAAAAAATTAATTAAAAAAACATTATAAGTTAGTAGTTCTGGATTTCTGATGAAATTCAAATTATATCATTGCATTACATTGTTATTAAACAGGAAATTGTCCAATACATGCATAGCATTTAGAGAAAGTTTAGAGTATTAAATTATCCACTATAAAGTTTACTTTGTAATAAGGATATATATATATATTAAATAATGATGTAAATATATAATCTAGACCAATTACTTAATTTAATTTAATTTATTTAGTACCATAAAATTTTTGTTATGCTAGTTAACACTGGTAAAATTATGATGAGTTAGAAATTTTTTTACTTTCCAAGTAATTGGTGTACATAAAAATGAACCTAAACAATAATTTAAAGGAATGATATTTAATAAATATTAAGTTTTTAAATACAGTTAACTTTACTAAAATTCAGAAATTATGAAATATTAAGCTGTACCATTTAATTTAATTATTATTAATTAAAATTTTCATTCTTATAGAATGGTAGAAATTTTGAAGATAAAGATTTATTAAAATAATAAAAGATATAGGATTGAAGTTAAAATCTGTTGCTGAGTACCAAAACATGTTAAATGCAAAAATATGATTTTTAGGTTTTACATATTATTTGTTATAAAAGCACATTTTTTTGTATTTAATATACCTATAACTTCAATATAAAATAAGCTCTTAAAAAAGATGTGTACTAATATTGCCATACATTACATGGTAGCTAAAATGTTTTAATTATCTTTTCTGAAAAAATGAGCTTTCCACGCATCATATTTGAGCTTTCAAAATTCTAAAATATAAAAAGTTATTATACATACGTTTACTCTCATTTTCAAGTTCTTTTTGTGGTTCAGTTATTTCCATGTTAAACAAAACAACTTTTGGTGTCATTGTTGACATTTGATTACTAAAACAATAGGTATATGCCCCTTTTTTCGCAGCAGCAAATGCAAATTTACCACTTGATTCTCTTAATCCTTCATAAATTATTTCATTATCTGGATCCAATATTTTTACATCAATATCTAAGAAGCCTCCTTCTGATATCTCATACATTAAACCTAAAAATTAAATAAAAAATTATTCTTATGAGTACTCAAAATTATTTAGTTACAAACGTTTTCACCTAATTTGGTTCCAATTTCCACTTTGTCAAAAAAACATTCTTCAGCATGAGCATCGACTGTCAAAAAATAGCAAAATCCTTGACGAAAAATACTCAAAAATAAAAGCAATATTAATAAGTTAAAAGACGAAAGCATTTTAATAAATTGAATAATAACAATTTATAACGAACTTTACAAACAAAATTCCAATAATCAATGTTTCGAAAATTTAAAATTTCAGCTTGAAAAACATAATAAAATAAACTAAATCTACTTCACAATATTATTAAATGTTGTTAAAAGGAAGCCGCTAAGTCAGTCTTATTTTTCTGACTTATCAATACTTAACATTTCTACACTCTCTAATATTCAGCAGACACGTCACCGTAACTGATAATAACCAATAACTACCAATAAAATTATTATTGAACAATTTCAATGTTCGCGCTCTAGTGGATAATTAAAATGTTATTAAAATAGAAAATGTTTGCCAAACGAACAACATTTAAACATAATAAATACATATAATAAATAATAATTTATAAAAATTATATTATATTTATAGAACTTTCCTATTAAATTATTTATTTCGCAGTTTTATAAAAATGATAGTATTTAGCTCTCACAATGTAATAATGTCAAATACAATCATAAAGTTTCTGCTTAATGAAGCTGTGATCATCTAAATGTATTAAGTTATATTTACAAATTATCAAAATAATAACTAAATACCATTTAATTTTAAATAATGTGAATAAAAAAAAAAGAGTATACCTGAAACATTTTTTTTTTTACTTTATGTTTTATTAAATTTTTAAATTAAAATATATCTTTAAACATTTTACGAAATACTTTACTATTATTTATATATATATATATATGTTGTATACAGAGTGAGTCACGAAGATTTAACAAATTCAATATACATTCATTATAAGTAATGAATGTGTAAAGTAGTGATCTAAAAAATTACATCAGTTTTATTCTCGTTGAATCTTTTAAGATTCATTCCAAAACCCTATCGAACATAAAATCAGTCGTATAAACTCAAAATATCGTTTTATTTAATCACTCACAGAATTACAGTATTCAATATGAAATATTTAGTTATCTTGCTAATTTTTAATTTTTAAAAGATATCATTTATTCATAACTCTCTTAGTTGCATTTGCCTTATTCTACCATGATCACGCTAATTGACTATGCCGATTAGATTATCTTGGGCGTGGTTAAAAAGTAACCATAATAATAATGTGAACATTAAGCCAGTAATCCACAATTCAGTGACTATGCTCTGTCTCTTATATATTTATTTCAAATAAGATATTTACATGATTTTATATTTATCTAGTCTAATTATAATAACTAATATTAAAAATCATCCTGAATCATAAAACAGTGATTAACAGCAATAACTATAAAATATCTATTACTCTTTTATACAGGATATATTTAATATTGTTATAAAATAAAAAGTGAGATTTTTTCATTATTTTATAAAGGTTCTTGATATGGCTGACGTAACTGAAAACGTATGTGCTGAGGTGGATGAACAATACATTCAAGATATTTTATTAAACGACTATGGTTTCATAGACGGACAAATTCGTAAATTAGATGGTTATGACGACAAAAATTTTCATATAACAGTTAGTATCTTTACTTTTTATAAATTATTTTTTTTTTTTCAAATAATTTACATCATTTGAAAATTACTATATAACTGATAATAATATAATACTAATAATAACAATTATAATATTATTCTTAATTATTATGAAGTTTTCTTAAAAAGTAGTATTTTAATGTTAAGTAAAAGTAAAATAAGTTTATTACGGTTTTAAAATTAAAAATATTAAACAATATAATTGTTTTTAATAAATAATATTAATACATTAAAATCGTTTTTTAGAAATATTTCATTTGAATAACAAGATTTTGATAAGTTTCTTTCTCTATATCGTTATCATTCTTTTAATTTCTACCTAGTGTGAACTCTTTGGTTTCAGTAAATTTAAGTTAGACCACAGAATAGATTAAACCAGAATGGACACTGATAAAAAAATTACATGTATTCTTATGGGAGTACGGTAATTTTGAGCTTATGTCGCTCAGTGTTACCATAAAAACAATAAAATAAATAATTGTATGCATATAATTCATTGTACTGTACAATAATTGTACATCGGCGGTTGATTTGAACTCTAAATGTATTATTGACATGCTAATTATTTTAGAAAATTTGCATAGTAAATTTTTTGGATTTATTTTATTATTATTTCTAAACATATAACACCATTTTAAAACTTTCAATTAATGTTTTCATTATGTGTAATTAGTTTGTTTAATATATTTTTTATTTTATGTATATTTAATAAAGACTTATTTAGGAAAAAAAAATTATTCAATATCCACATAATATTAAATTTATTTAAAACATATATTACAATAATTTACAAATATCATATACATAAATAAATAATTTATAGATGAGTTAAAATAGACAATTTCCTATTTTAATTTTTTTTTCAGACATTAAATTTTTATTTAAAAATTTTATAGCTGTAAATATTCTAAATCTTGTAAACAAATTAATTAAATACAATTTATCAAAACATTTACAAGGGTGGTTAAAAGGTACATTACAAAAATAATTTTTTAATTCGGCTCCAACTCCATCTACAATAGCAAGTGTGGAAAAGTTATTAATAAAAATATTTTCTAATTCATTAATACCAATATTTACCATATATTTTTCATATTTACCAATAAACCATGTTTATAAACATTGTGTTTACAAACAAACCATTAATAATGGTGTTGAACAATGTGACCGTATATAAAGAAAAAAGGGAATACATTTTTATTTCTTAAGTGGCAACACTGAGCGACATAAGCTTGTTATCAGCAAAAACTAAGAGTGTCACTTCTGGTTTAATCTATTCTGTGGTGGCAACTTATTATCAATTTTGATAACTGTTATTGTTACCATAGCTACATGAAAAATTATTCTGTATTGTTACTTTCAAAATAACAGTTTCTGTTATTTTCTCAAAAAAATGTTATCTTTGTATAAAATTCTTGATAACGATGAATAACTGTTTTAAATGTTAAAAGACTGCTGAAATAAATATTTTTACTGATAAGTAAAACCCGTTCTATATGCTCTAAATAAACAAAAAAACGCTACAATTATCAGTTAATTAATTTTTATAATATTAAAAATTGATGTAGTTTTTTATTCTAAATAATTTACAGCCAAAATATTAATTGAAATATTCTAATTTCCATAATCTTATTTTATGAATAAATATGAATTAATACCAATTTATTTTTTCAAAACTAACGATAATTTTGTCTAAATTGTCCCTATAGATTTTTAAATCACTGATTATACAGAGTGTATTATATTGTACTTAACTAATTACTATGTGTAGTGTATCTACTGTATTACGCTCCATTTTACTCTAGTATTTAAAAAATCAAAAACAAGTTTTGTCTTTGGATAAAAAAAAATCGAAAGTGCGGTTTTTAAGTTAATGTAATTTTTGGCTATAGGTGAGCTGTATGCACAACGTGGAAGAATTTTCATCTATGAGTCATGGTAAAAATAAAGTGTCGCTCCAAACTATCCCTCTCTTTACCTGTTCGAAATCTTTAAAATCTAATATTTCAAAAACCGCTTGTTCAATTTTAGCTTCGATGCGAAGCTGAGAAGATATTGGTTTTACTATGATGTGTTTTTTTTTTTTTTTTTTTTTTTTTTTTTTTTTTTTTCTCC